TGCTGAAGCAACCCACCCGATCTCTGGTGCTCATACTTCACTTGCTGACAGTTGAGGCACCGAGCTACAACTCCAACTATATCTTTCTTCATCCGCCTCCACCAGTAGTGTTGCCTCAAATCCTGATACATCTTCGTGACACCCGAATGAATGGAATACCGCGAGCTATGGGCCTCCTCCAGAATCAACTCCCGAAGCCCATCGACATTGGGTACACAAATCCGACCCTGCATCCTCAATACCCCATCATTACCAATAGTCACATCTCTGGCATCGTCGTGCTGAACCTTGTCCTTGAGGACAAGCAAATGAATGTCATCATACTGCCGCTCCCTGATACGATCAAATAAGGAAGACTGGGAAACCACGCAAGCTAGAACCCAATTGGGCTCCGAAAGATCCAATCTCACAAACTGGCTGGCTAAGGCATGAACATCCTTCTCCCTAGGCCTCTCTGATGCTGGTAAATAAGCCAAACTCCCCAAACTCTCTGTCCGGCGACTCAAGGCATCAGCCACCACATTGGCCTTGCCCGGGTGATACAAAATAGTGATGTCATAGTCCTTCAACAACTCTAACCACCTCCTCTAGCGCAAATTTAGGTCCTTTTACTTGAACAAGTGTTGCAAGCTCCAATGGTCAGTATAAATCTCACAAGGCACACCATATAAATAATGGCGCCAGATCTTCAGGGCGTGAACAATGGCAGCTAACTCAAGTTCGTGGACCAGATAATTCTTCTCATGTACCTTCAACTGTCTGGACGCGTAGGCAATCACCCTACCGTCCTACATCAACACCGCTCAGAGGCCAATCCTCGAGGCATCACAATAAACCCTATAAGACCCCGAACCTGTAGGAAGTATCAAAATTGGGGGTGCAGTCAAAGCTGTCTTGAGCTTTTGAAAGCTAGCCTCACACTCCTCCGTCCACTGGAACGGAGCACCCTTCTGGGTCAGTCTGGTCATAGAGGCTGCAATCGATGAAAACCCCTCAACAAAACGGCGGTAGTAACCCGCCAAGCCAAGGAAACTGCGGATCTCTGTAGCTGAGGATGATCTGGACCAACTCTGCACGGCCTCTATTTTCTTCGAATCCACCTGAATACCCTCACTCGATACCACGTGGCCTAAGAATGCCACCGAATCTAACCAAAACTCACATTTTGAGAACTTAGCATATAACTTCTTGTCTCTCGGAGTCTGAAGCACAGTCCTCAGGTGCTGCTCATGATCTTTCTGACTCCTGGAATACACTAGAATATCATCAATAAAAATAATGACGCACGAGTAAAGATACGGCCGAAACACACTGTGCATCAAGTGCATAAAAGCTGTTGGGGCATTGGTCAGCCCAAATGACATGACAAAGAACTCGTATGACCATACCGAGTCTTGAAAGCAGTCTGCGGAATATCTGGCTCCCGAATCTTCAACTAATGGTAACCTGAGCGCAAGTCAATCTTAGAAAACACATGTGCGCCCTGAAGGTGGTCAAACAGTTCATCAATACGAGGCAAAGGATAACGGTTCTTCACTGTAACCTTGTTCAACTGGCGATAATCGATACACATACGCATAGAACCATCCTTTTTCTTCACAAACAAGACAGGAGCACCCCAAGGTGATACACTGGGCCGAATAAAACCCTTATCAAGCAATTCTTGCAACTGATCCTTCAACTCAGGAAGAGCCATATGATACGGAGGAATAGAAATAGGTTGAGTTCCCGGCAACAGATCAATGCCAAAATCAATATCTCTATCAGGAGGCATGTACGGAAGATCGGCTAGAAACACATTGGGAAAATCCCGTACTACTGGAACTGAATCAACTGAAGGGGTATAAATACTGACAACTCTCACATAAGCCAAATACACGTCACAAGCCTTCTCAACCATACGCTGAGATTTAAGAAAATAAATAACTCTACTGGGAGTATGATCTAAAGTACCCCTCCACTCAACACGCGGTACACCTGGCATAGCTAGCATCACGGTTTTGGTGTGACAATCAAGGATAGTATAATGTGGCAATAACCAGTTCATGCCCAAGATAATGTCAAAATCTACCATGCTGAGCAACAATAAATCGACTCTGGTCTCAAAACCACTAAGCGCAACCAAACACGACCGATAAATGCGGTCCACAACAAGAGAATCTCCCACAAGAGTAGAAACATAAACAGGGAAACTCAAAGAATCCCAAGATATACCCAAATGCGGATCAAAATAAGAAAACACATAAGAATAAGTGGACCTGGATCAAATAGAACTGATGCATCTCTGTGACAAACCAATATAATACCTGTGATGACAAAATCGGAGGCAACAGTCTCGGTACAGGAAAGAAGGGCATAGTTTCTGGCTTGGCCTCCCCCTCTAGGGCGACCTCTACCTCCCCGACCTCAACCTCTAGCTGGCTAAGCAGGTGGGGTAGCAACTGGAGCTGTAACCATAGCCTGAGAGCTCTGCGGGGTGCGCTGTGGCTGAGAAGTCTGTAGAGGGGCACTCCTCCCAAGTCTAGGGCAATCCCTCACCACATGGCGTGTGTCACCACACTCAAAGAAAGCTCTAGGAGGATGTGGTGGTTGTGACTGGCTCAGGCCAAGTCTGCTAGACTGACCTCTGAAAGCACCCCGCACAGGAGGCACGCTAGATACTGGAGGTGCATAATAAGGCTTCTGAGGTCTAAGAGGAGCTAGAATACCACTGGCTGTTGGAAGAGCTGAATGAATAGGGAAACTCATATAACCCCTACCATGGCGACCTGCAGCTGGGGCACTAGCACTAGAATAATGGCCCGACTCTCGAGACCTCTTGGCCTCCCTCTCCTTTCTCTCCCTAGCATGCATACCCTCAATCCTCCTAGCAATGCTCACCAACTGCTAATAAGAAATATCCATCTCCAACTCACGAGCCATGTTAGACCTGATGATGGGAATAAGCCCCTCAATAAACCGGCGAACCCTCTCGCGAACAGTAAAAACCAAAGCTGGTGCATGCCTAACCAAACTAGTGTAACGGACAACATACTCTGAGACAGTCATAGCACCCTGGCGCAAATGCTCAAAACTTTGTGCGCCATGCGTCCCTGAGGCTCTAAGGAACATACTCCCTCAGGAACAGATCTGAAAACTGAGTCCAAGTCAGTGAAGCAGCCTCATCCGGACTGTCTAACTCATAGGTGCGCCACCACTCATAGGCGGCACCTCGAAGCTGGAAAGTAATGAAGAAAACCCCGCTCGATCCTGATATACCCATGGTACGGAGAATGCAGTAACACTCATCTAGAAATCCCAGAGCATCATCCGATGCTAGACCACTGAATAGAGGAGGCTTGTACTTCTTGAACCTCTCAAGCCTCAGTTGTTCATCCTCAGAAGCCGCTGCCCAGTCCTCGGGCTGATCTCGGACTGCAGGCTGTACAAGAATAATCTCAAAGACCTGCTCAACATGCACTCGCTGCTCAAGAGTGCGGGCGGCGGGAGTCTGTGCTCCTCCCCCGGCCTGAGATGTAGTTGCAGCAAGGGAAAGTAACCCTGCCTGAGCCAACATGGTGTATATGCTCATGAACTGTGCCAGAGTCTTCTGAAGTGCTGGAGTAGTAGTAGCAGTAGGCGTATTAGGTTCCTGAACTCCAGCTAGATCTGCTGGTGGTACCTCGGCGGTAGCTCGCGTAGGTGCTCTAGCTGCACCACGTGCGCGTCCTCGGCCTTTACCCTGGCCCCGGCCTCTGACGGTTGCAGTATGGGGCACTGGTGCCTAATCATCTCGGCTAGCACGTGTCATCACCATCTATGAGAGAATAGAAGACAGAAGTTTAGAATTGTGATATCAAAATCTCGCACGTCAAGGAAATCAAATGAAGTAGAATTTTCCTAACGGTTACATAGTCTGTCGTAGATAAGTACAAACATCTCCGCACCAATAAGCGAGACACTAATAAACCAACTTATGATCCAAGACTCCTATGAACCTAGAGCTCTGATACCAACTTGTCACGACCCCGGTTCACCCTCCGTGAACCATCATGACGGCACCTAGTCTCTACGACTAGGTAAGCCTAAAACGCAGAAAATAAACAAATTCGCGGAAGAATACAATTTAAAACAGAAATAATGTAATAAAACAGCGTTTTAAAAAGTGTCGCTCGGCATACAAAATATAACTCTCAAATCCAATAAACATCACTCCCAAAACCTGGAAACTCATGAATCACAAGCTAAGGATGTTACATAGTGCTCTAACTCCAGAATAGTCTAAAACAAAAAAATACAAAAGGGTCGTAACTACAAGAGAAAATAGAGAGAGACTCTTCGGTTTGCGGATGCGACAGATATACCTCGAAGTCTCCGAAGGGTCGCCTCACCTCAAGGATGGTAAGTCTGAGTCAAGGTACCTGGATCTGCACATGAAAAACATACGCAGAAATGGCATGAGTACACCACAGCGGTACTCAGTAAGTGTCAAGCCTAACCTCGGTCGAGTAGTGACGAGGAAGGTCAGGGCCCTACTAAGGTAAAATAAAAATTAAGATATGACAGTATAAGATAAGCAGTACAGTCAAAAACTAACACTAAGAATTTAATACAGGGAAACAAGGAATTCAATAACTGAAACAGAGGCAAAAACAATCACAAGGAAATAACCGGGGATCTATCAGTATCTCGAGGATCTCTTAGTACCCTCAATATATGCCAGGGATCTCTTGGTATCCCGAGGATCTCTCGGTATCCTCAATATATACTAGGGATCTCTTGGTATCCCGAGGATCTCTCGGTATCCTCAATGTATGCTAGGGATCTCTTGGTATCCCGAGAATCTCTTGGTATCCTCAATATACATGATAGGGATCTCTTGGTATCCCGCACCTCAGTTTAAATCATAAATACAAACAGGGGATCTCCTGGGATGTCGTCTCGTAATCCCAAAGTAAAACACATAGCAGCAACACAAGAATACTCAATTAAGCTCAATTTCGTATCAAGTAAACAAGTAATTCTAATCTAATGTGCTTCACATAATTCAATTAAGGTAGTTTAAGCAAATAAACAGTTAAGTCAATTAGACATGCTTTTTCTAAGCTAACAGCAGGTTTAAATTGCAAGTAAAATGAAACAGGAAAAGGAACACAATTGAAATTACTTAAAGAAAACCAGATTTTCAACAATTAGTTCAAGTACGCACTCGTAACCTCACGTACAAGGCATTTCAAATATCAAATATACCAAGTCCTAAGGGGAATGTCCCACACACAAGGTTAGGCAAGCCATTTACCTCGAACCGGCTCAATAATCAACCCAAAACCACGTACGTCTTTGCCACGAGTACTCGACTCCAAATGGCTCAAATCTATTCAATTCAATTACATAATGTAAATAACACTTCAAGTAACTGATTCTACAAAGACGTTCTAAGCTAATACGCGAAATTAGGTAAAATGACCAAAATGCCCTCGGGCCCGCGTCTCGAAATTGGGTAAAATTTATATTTTTAGAATCATCATACTCTCACGAGTTCATGCATACCAAAATTATCCAAATCTAAGGTCAAAATCCCAATCAAAAGTTTAATTCTAGGTCTAAAAACTTTCTTCCAACTTTTCCCCAATTTTCATCTCCAATCCGAAATTAAATGATGAATTCATGTTTAGATTAATGGGTTACAAGCAAAAATAAGTAAGGAATAGTTACCCAATTGATATCTCTGAAAATCCCTCAAAATCTCGCTCAAATCCGAGCTCCCAAACTCTAGTTTTGATAAAAATGGCTAAACCCTCGACTTTGAAATTTTATAATCTGCCTAGGTAAATCCTTCTTCGCGAACGCGGAAGGAACCTCGCGTTCGCGAAGCACAACTTTGCTTGACCTAGATTTCCTTCATCGCGAACACGATGCTCCTGTCGCGAATGCGGTAGGAGCCTTCTCCCTCCTACGCGAACGCGGGACCCTCTTCGCGAACACGTAGGCATACGACCTCACAGCTTCGCGAACGCGGGGCCATCATCGTGAATGCGAAGCATTAAGCTTCCACCCGCCCTAGCTCCTCTTCGCGAACGCGAGACCCCACTCACGAACGCGAAGAAGGAAACCAGAACTGGAGACCTACTGCATTTTCTGCAATTCTCTAAGTCTAAAAATGACCCGTTGAGCATCCAAAACACACCCAAGGCCCCCGGGACCTCAACCAAACATGCCAACCAATCCTAAAACATCATTCAAACTTGCTCCAACCTTCGAAATGCTCAAAACAACATCAAAAGACCTATTTTTCATCGGATTCAAGCCTAAGAATTCTAAAAACTCTAAAAATACGCTTTCGATCAAAAAGTCTATCAAACCTCGTCCGAATGACCTAAAAATTCGCACATATGTCACATTCAACACTACGAAGCTACTCTAACTTCCGAAATTCCATTCTGACCCTCGGATCAAAATCTCACTATTGAACCGGAAACTTCAAAATTCGACCTTTCGGTATTTCAAGCCTAAATTAGCTATGGACCTCCAAAATACAATCCGAACACGCCGCTAAGCCTGAAATCACCCAATGGAGCTAACGGAACCATCGGATTTCCATTCTGAGGCCGTCTTCACACTGTTCCGATAACAGTCAACTTTTCAATACTTAAACTCTCATTTAGGGACTAAGTGTCCTAAAACTCTCCGAAACTCAAAACCGAACATCCCGGTAAATCAAAATAGCAGAAATAAACTCGGGGAAAGCAGTTAATAGGGGATCGGGGATAATTTCTTAAGACGACCGGTCGGGTCGTCACAGCTCTATAGAATGCAGAAAATGCAGAAAAATTGTGTAGAAACGCAAAAACGCTGTGCAAAAATACAAAAATTACCGAAATGTTGTGCAGAAATACAAAAAATGCAGAAAAACCGTGCAGAAACGCAAAGATTACTGTCCACAAATGCAGAAACTTTGAAATGCTGTGCAGAAATGCAGAAATTGCAGAAACACAAAAACACTATCCAAATGTCAACTTCTTCCTTTCCATATTAAAATGATATGAACACACTCATCCAACTAATGAATCTGAACAATGAAGAAGTCAGGCAAGAAGGTACTAAGTTATAACAGTAAGGTTGTCATCAGATTAATCTTCAAAAACCTTCTATACCAATCGTGCGTATATTAATTTTTGTATATAGATATTCTCTATCCCACTTTCTTTTCCTGTATATACACACTCTCTATCCTCGTTTCAAGAATCCCAGCCACAATATCAATGGCCACCATTAGCAAATCATCCAAGATTTTAACCAATTTGGCCATATTTTCACGAAGTTCAATGATCGATATTTGAAAGGAAGAAACAACAATTAAAGGTTACTACCCTTTATCCCCCTTTTTATATGATGTGATTACGAGCAATATATGCTAAAGCATAAATATTTATATAATATTGTACCAAGAAAATAATTATTATATGATCTTAAATTAGTTAAGGTTGAATAATGGCATAAAATCAATACTCGAATATTATGCAATATTTGCAGCTTTAAAGGAGATAAGAGTTGGATTACACTAAGAATATGCTTATTTTTTTCATTACCAAAGCTTGCTTATTTTTGAATATGGAAGCAAAGGAAAAAATATTAATATACACACGATGTTCCCAATCCTATGATGCCATTGATATGAATTAAAAAAATACCCATGAAATAATCGGTTGATTTAACACTTGAAAACCCTAATACAAAGAACAATCAAAGCCACAAAGCCTAATGAAGAGGAATTTTGGCAAACCAATCGAATACCACTATCAACAAACAATTCCAACAAACAAATAGTACGGTTTCCTTGTTTTGGCAGTTTTGTTGGAGTATCAATAACTCTATTTAGTTTTCATTAGAAACTAATCAAATCAGTTCTTAATTAGGCGTAGACGTGAAGTCCAGTCCAACCGATAACGACACAACAACAAAATACCCAGAAGAATCAAAGGGGGCTTAAGCTGTAGATGAATATGTAAAGAAATAAAATAACTTTAATCAAGAGATCATACCTTTTGAATGCTGAAATCTCTCTTTCTTAGATGTAGGTATTGGGTCAATGGAGAAGAAAATTTCAGTCGATGTTGGATTTGGTAGCAGTGGAACCAGCGGTGTGATGGTGGCCTAGATGGAGATTTATGGGCCGATACTCAGTAGAGGGGTACAATGAAAATTTGAGAAAGTGTTAATTTCTTTTGCCTTTGAAAATAGGGGGAAACTTTCGCTCAATGAAACAATGGAGGGAATTTTTTGATGAATTTTTTATTTTTATTTTAGAGCACACTTGTTAAGTGTTTGCTTTTGGGACAAGAGGGGCTGCTCTGATGGTAAGCAACCTCCATTCCAACCAAGAGGTTGTGAGTTCGAGTCTCCCTAAGAGCAAGATAGGAAGTTCTTGGAGGGAAGTATGTCGGGGGTTTATTTGAAAACAGTCTCTCTACCCAGGGTAAGGGTAAGGTCTGCATACACACTATCCTCCCCATACCCCACTAAGTGAGATTACACTGGGTTGTTGTTGTTGTTGTTGTTGTTAAGTGTTGCTTTTATTATTAAAAAGAAAACACATTTTAAAAGCGTTGTATATAAATGAATAAGTGTTGCTAAATATTTTATGATTTGGCAACACTTAAACCGTGTTATCTTTACATTTATAAAGTACACTTTAGAAACGTAGCTTAAACTTTCGTGGCCAAAAGCTCAAAATAAAGGCTACACTTATAAAGCATTCCTATAGACACTTTTGGCTACGCTTTCTAAGCATTGTCTAAAATTAGTGTGGTCTTAGGGCAAATATGTTGTAGTGACGAGTTTGATAACGACGCATAAAGAAAATTTCATAACCCAGATTACGTATATTTTGCTAGTCTCGCAAGTTACGTATATTTTCCTAGTTTCGTAAGTTACAATATTCTCTTTACCTGGACTTCATATTCATTTAAGTATTTTCTTCTTCCAGCCAAGAGAGAAGAGAGTCTATATATACAGTATTATTAGTATTTTCATTACCATCGAGCTATAATCGATGGGCAGGCCCCTATTGGGCAACCTCTGATCAGATGGTAAGTTATACACCGAGCCTACTGTGGCCGAGCGCCTATGAGCGAGCCCAATTGGCTGGGCTATAGAGCCTAGTATGGCTGAGTGACTATGAACAAGCCTACTACGGCAGAGCAGTTATATATTTATACCGAGCCTTATAGGGTTGGACAGCTATTTTACTTATTATATTGAGAGAATTGAGTCAGTATCAGCATGTAAGCATATGTTCAAGTTATCAGTTTAGTTTCAGCTTTCAGTATATTTCCTTACATATTCGGTACATTATTTCGTACTAATGTCCCTTTCTGGGGGCACTACATTTCATGTGTACAGGTTCGGACAGACAGACGGGTAGACCTCCTTAGTAGGTGTTTGCCTGAGTTCAGCCTTATCGGTAAGCTCCCCGTCTTTCGAAGTTGCTGGGTCTAGCAGTTTGGTGTACATCTTGTGCATATATATAAATAGGTTACATGTAGGTCAGGGCCCTGTTCTGATCACAATACATCTATCAGTAGAGGCTTGTAGATATATCTTATCAGTTAGTGCAGTATGTTGGGCTTATAGGTCTTGTACATATATTTTGTTGGCTTGTCAGTTGTAGTAATTATGACGGTCTTGCCGGCCCAGCTTTATGTTGACATTTAGTCAGCATTAGTCTCTATTCAGTTTTATATTTTGCATCGCACATTATCTTGCAATGTGGCCCATAGCCAAAGTATGACATTACATGTTCAGAGTCTCTTAGTCGCAAGTGGTATGCAAGGATAGGTGAGGCACTGGGTGCCAGTCTCGCCCCCAGGCTTGGGGCATGATAAAAGTGGTATCAGAGCAGTTTTGTCCTAGGGAGTCTACAAGCCGTGTCTAGTAGGGTCTTGTTTATAGTTGTGTGGTCCACCATATTATATAAGTAGGGGACTACAGGGCATTTAGGAGTTGGTTACCCTTCTTTCAAATCTAAATCGTATTGTAGCACTAAGTTATAGGAAATTTGAGCTAAACTTACATGTTGACGTGTGCATGCACAAATGACGGTAGCTAGGAAGACTACGGCTAGCCAGAGGAGAGAAACAACAGTAGGTGAGGGGACTAGTAGGGTACCCCCAGCAGATAGGGCCCAATTAGAGTCCCAAGGAGAGAACCCTACCCATCAATTGCCGGCTCCTCCGCCACCAGAGGAGATTCCTAGGGAGACCGTACATCCAATTCCCCCTCCGCTTCCATCAGATCAGGACTTGAGAAGTGCGGTGCATTTGTTGGCACAGTTGGTGGCTACCCAACAACAGGCTAAGGCATCCACTAGTGCAGGACCTTCTATGGGATCTGAGAGTTCAAGGGTCCGAGAGTTTATTGCTTTGAATCCCCCAGAGTTCACGGGGACAGATCAGATGGAGGACCCCTAGGATTTCATAGATCAACTTCATAGAATCTTTCGGGTTATGCATGCCACGGAGAAAGATGAAGTTGAGTTAGTAGCTTTTCGACTTCGAGATATAGCTATCCTTTGGTACGAGGGATGGGAAAGGTCCAGGGAATGTGATGCACCTCCTGCTATTTGGGAGAATTTTTTAGATGCCTAGTGCTTACCGCAAGAGATCCCACAGGCCCGAATCGATCAGTTTCTAGCCCTCAAGCAGGGCAATATGAGTGTTCGAGAGTATAGTCTCTGTTTTGACTCATTGGCCAGATATGCACCATTCATAGTTGCTACTATGGGACAGGATCCACAGGTTTATAGTAGGGTTGGCCCCAGAGTTGACCGAGGCATGTGCCACCACTGCATTATAGGACAGTATGGATATCTCCCCGATTCAGGCGTTTGCCCAAAATATAGAAAGGGGTAGGCGTCGGCAGTAGGGTACGGAGAGGACTGAGTTAGGGCAACGGAAGAGCATGAGATTTCCTAGATCTCAGGAGAAGTCTCGGGGTAGTTATAAGCCCCAGTACTTCGAACGACCACCTAGACCTCCGCCACCTCAGTAATAGGTATGATCGTTATACTCAGTCAGGACTAGGTGAGAGCTCCCAAGCATCAAGTTTATAGCGATAACGAGGTTCGGGGCAGACATGGCCATTTCCGCCGCGGTGTGCCAGTTGCGATAGAGGATACTTGGGACAATGTTGCCGGTTCTGATGCTTGTTATACATGTGGATGTCCAGGGTATATGATGCGAGATTGCCCAAATTGAGATTCTAGGGGTATGACGCAACCAGCGAATTCAACAACAGGATCAGATATGTTCGTGCATCCTTCAGGGCGTGAGTCTCAGTCTTCGGCGGGTAGAGGCCGAGGCAAAGGTAGAGGGTCTAGTTCAGGTGGTAACCAGAATTGTATCTATGCGCTAGCAGGTCGACAGGACCAAGAGTCCTCACCAGACGTTGTGACATGTATGTTGACCATTTGTTCTCACGATGTTTATGCCTTGATAGACCCATGATCTACTTTATCATGTATTACCCCATTTGTCACGATGAAATTTGGTATAGTGCCTGAAATACTAAGTGATCCTTTTGCGGTATCTACATTGGTCGGAGAATCGATTATCACTAGATGGGTTTACCGAGGTTGTACAGTATCAGTTTGTGGTCGTCAGACCTCGGCCAACCTAGTTGAGCTAGAGATGTTGGATTTTCATGCTATCATAGGCATGGACTGGTTGGCAGCTTGTTATGCCATAGTTTATTATCGAGCAGAGACAGTCAGATTTCATTTTCCGGATAAGCCAGTCCTTAAATGGGTAGGTAATACAGTGACACCCAGAGGTAGGTTTATTTCGTATCTAAAGGCAATGAAAATGATTGCAAAAGGGTGCATTTATCATATTGTGCGAGTTAAAGATGTGAATGCTGAGATACCTACACTTCAATCTATTCCAGTATTCAAAGAGTACGCGGATGTATTTCCAAATAAACTTCCAGGTATTCCTCTAGAGCGAGAGATTGATTTTGGCATCGATTTGCTTCTGGGAACGCAACCAATATCCATCCCTCCATATAGAATGGCACCTACCGAATTGAAAGAGTTGAAGGAGTAGTTAAAAGATTTACTGGAGAAAGGTTTCATCAAACCCAGTACTTCACCTTGGGGTGCACCAGTACTTTTTATACGAAGGAAAGACGGCTCGCTGAGGATGTGTATCGATTATAGGCAACTGAACAAGGTAACTATTAAGAATAAATATCCACTTCCAAGGATAGACGACTTGTTTGATTAGTTACAGGGAGCTAGATACTTTTCAAAGATAGATTTGAGGTTAGGATACCACCAGGTCAGAGTTCGGGAGAAAGATATTCCCAAGACAGCCTTCAGGACCCGATATGGCCACTTCGAGTTCTTTGTCATGTCCTTGGGGTTGACGAATGCACCTGCCATATTTATGGACTTGATGAATAGCCTATTTCGTCCATATTTAGATCTGTTTGTGATAGTCTTTATTGATGATATTCTGGTTTATTCACATTCAGAGGATGAGCATGTGGACCACCTATGAGCGGTACTTCATACCCTCTGTGATAATAAATCGTATGCTAACTTTTCTAAGTGTGAGTTCTAGTTGAAGTCTGTAGCATTATTGGGGCACATTGTAGCCGACGGAGGTATAAAGGTAGACACTCAGAAGATTGAGGTTGTGAAATTCTGGCCTAGACCTACCATTCTGACAGAGATTCGTAGCTTTTTAGGCTTAGTAGGATACTACCGGAGGTTCGTAAAGGGTTTTTCTTCTCTTTCAGCACCATTAACGAAGTTGATGCAGAAAGAGACTAAGTTTCAGTGGACAGAGGCCTGTGAGTAGAGTTTCCAAGAGCTTAAGAACAGGTTGACCTCAGTGCCAGTTCTAGCACTTCTAGAGGATCCAGATGGTTATGCCATGTATTGTGATGCCTCAGGTGTTGGGTTAGGATGTGTTCTGATGCAACATGGGAAAGTAATTGCGTATGATTCAAGGAAGTTAAGGAAGCACGAATGGAAGTATCCGACCCATGACCTCGAATTAGCTGGGGTTGTCCATGCACTTAAGATATGGCGGCATTATTTATATGGTGTTCATGTTGATATATTCACAGATCATAAAAGCCTACAATATATCTTCAAGCACAAAGAATTGAACTTGTGACAGAGGCGGTGGCTTGAGTTATTAAAAGATTATGATGTTAACATTCTCTACCATCCAGGGAAAGCTA